AGCATGTAATTGCATAGTTTTAAAAATCCTAAAACTAACGTGGAAGTCCTTTCAAACCCAATTTGCATTGATAGAGACGGTGAAATCCACATTCAACCGATTTCTGCAGTTAGAAGAACTCAATGGAATTATGAAGCAAAATGGCTTCTCTTCAGAAAATTAATAGGTATTAAATTTTGTACTCACTGCAACAGAACAGAAACTAAATTTTCCAGGTGGTCTCACTGATATCAATAGGACTCCCTCAAGCTAAGCAATAAGAAGGTGCCAGTACTGAACATCACTAGAGTGCCAAACTGGAACTGATTGCTATATGCAGCAGGGAACATTTGATAGCAAATATTAATCCATGCCTAAATACTACAGCAATTTGTGCTCTAAAAATACATTTTTAAATACTGCACTGAGAAATTTTTTGACCTTCTTTAACAATCCCACCTCCACAATAGCATCTTTTTCTTTTTAGTAAATCTTAATTGTTGGCCAGTCACAGTTTTCAACACATTAGTGACTGTTGCACTGACTGATTTTCTTCTTCACACACTTGTCCCACATTAGCATTTTCATTTGAAAGTAACCCAGTTTTACAGATCTGTGAAGCCCAGGTGACAAGTGTGCAAAAGCACTGCTGGCCATTTTACACCCAGCTAACTACAGATAAGTTGAGAGTGGGCACTGCTCGTGCAACCTCTCAGCTGCCGCGCCAGGAATTCCACTCCCGGGAAACTGCGCCCCAGTGAGACCTGCAGCAACCACCTCCGCTGGCTCCCCCACCGCCTTTTTTCCCCCAGAGACCCTCATGCCCAGGAGTCCTGTACAAATCTGACCTCTGGCCACTCCACCTGACAACCTACCAATTCGCCAGCTTTGCCATGTCTGCAGTTTAAGGGCTCACTTCTGCTGGAGGGAAAAAAGTATAGTCTTAAAACAGGGGGCAGTGCACTGTAGGCCAGTGATTCAGAGATAGCTGTGCCATATTTTTTAGTTTAACTTAGCTGGCTCTAATGAACCCCATGTTTAAGGGGAAAAGCACAGATAAGGGGAGCCAGCTCCTCCTTTTCACTCATCTTACAGCACCAAAGCTGGATATACTAGAGATACAAGGACAAGGGGTGAAGCAAGATGCTAAGACAGCAACCATCAAGAAGAGGAAGAAGACTGGGGTCTCCTGGACACAATGAGGCCAAAAATGGAACTAAGGCAAAGAAAATGGATGGAAGAAAGAATATTAGGGTCAGAAACAACTATAAGTGGAAACCAGTGCAAGGAGTTTATACAATAAATAAATAAAACAGTTGTAGCCAACTGTTAAAAGTGCCCAGCCTCAGCAAGGCAGAAGCAGAAAAGGAATTTGCTACTCAGAGTCCCTCAGATCTGAAGTAAGCCTTTTGGATTTTTCTCTTCTGCTGCTCAGAGTAAAGTATCACAAAATGTCTTGCCTTCTTACACTCACTTATGCCTGCAGATGAAGATAACCTACTATTGCCACTGGGAACGCTGGTAATCCACAACACTGGAGTCAGAGGCAAGTGCTCAATTCCATGAAGCTGCTGGTATAATTTTAGATGATGACAGGTCGGATTTTCCAGTTTGGTTATAAAAAGTAAACCAGAAAATTAGCTAGAAGACTGAAAATTTATTAAGAGCATCATTCAGCTGTTCTGAAGACAGCAGTTCTAAGAAATGAGGCTGTCTGTGACACTGCATTTTAGTTTCCCTCTGCCCTGTGATACTGTTAAACTAGCCCACATACCTCCCCCTCCATGAGCTGTCCCTCATTCTTTGGTCAAGAAAGATTAATCTATCATATACATAATTCCTGTTTGGTCTGATGGTAAGATAGGAAACAAAGACACAGCTATAGAACGTGAATCCTCCTTGTGAGCATCATAACAATAGCTCCAGTGCAAGACAGAGGTAAGCTGCCACATCTAGTCAATGGTTATGCTCTCCACCTTCCCGATTCCCATGTGGGAGTCTAGGAATGTTCAGTTGCAGTCTGAGCTCAGAACATTCAAACATTAAAACACCTCCAAAAACACAGCATAAGCAGACGCCCTCTTGGGGCAGGGGAGAAATCAGCTCACATTTCTCAATCATCATGCCAAAACATGACTGACACTTGGAGGGAAAACTGTGCGGGGACTGAAACTAAATTTGTCTAAATGTAAAAGGGAACATCTTTCCACGGTAAACCTGTGCTGTAACAGCAGCTCCATATTACATGGCACCCCTAATCAGAGCTGCGCGGAGAAGCCCAAAGGAAATGAAAAATTCTGTTTCATTACGGCAAATGGATAAGCGCAGAAACAATACCCAGACCACATAATGAACTGTGAAGACTTCAAAAAATTATCTGAACCACCATCCCTTCCCTGAGTGAAGCAGGGTCCTGATGGGACTGCATAATTAGCCTGTCTTACTGAAACCATGATGCAAAGCCAAGGTTTGAACAGACAGTCTTAATTTTGCAATTATTAGATCTGCTGCTTTCATCTCTGCGTACTTCTGTCTTGTCACATTCATGAAAGAAAACAGGCTATGTTATTATGATCATCTACCACTTTTCCAGGATGGAGCAGGAGAGTGGTAACATTACACACATGCAAATTACTCTAGAATAACATATAGTGACGATGCAGAAGAGTGAGCCCAGAGATGAGGGACCCACGGGACCAGCAATTCTGGGCAGCCCAAGCCACAGCATGGAGCTTAACGGTCCAAAAGCAGCAGTAGAGAAGTTCCCTGTGCCCAGCACACCTAATCCACAACCTAGAGAGGCTCCTGCAAATAGGACTGACTGCATACAGCATAACTCTATTAACCTCACAACTCACTGCAGCAGGCACCTCCTCCATAAACTGCTTGGTGACCAAGTAACCAACCATAAGTGAACAGACTCTTACAAACCTCTCGAGTCTAGTAATAGGATACTTGCCCCCGAGGCCCTGGCTTTACTACATAGCTTCATTTCAGATTCATCGGTTTTGAAGACTTGGGGGAATCCATTATCATTATCTAATCTTTTCCTTGCACACAAGAGCCAGATCCCCAGCTCTGCAGCACGACAGCAGCAGTTTCTCTTTTCATCTCCTGAACCGAAATTGTTGAAATCTTTGAACTTACCAGTGAGAAAACAATTTACTAAACTTCCAGCTCAGGATAATCTGATGGGCAGTAATCCATGCAAAAAATAAAGCTAGCAACCACATCCACTCCTCCAGCCTTTATGATTATCTAAATGAAAGATGTGACTAGATGCAATGATCCTGTCACAGCAAAGATGAGGTGTGCTGACCAGGCACTTCCAGCAAATGCTGAAGCCAGAGTTGTACCTCTCTTGTGAGAGGAGCAGGCAAGGGGGGGGGAATCTGACAAGAGCCAAGGATGTTCCTGACCACTGAAGTCATACGGAAGCAGAAAGACAGAATAAAGGAGCATCCCATGTTAGCTCTTCAAAAGGCAGCCTCAACTCCTGAGGAAGCTGGCCAGCAGAGAGGAAGGATGCATAAGGCACCTGGGACACACAGCTTGACAGCTGAAGACTGATAGCCTGTCCAGCGAGCAAGCTGGACCGCTACCAGCGTTCACTGGCACCACCTCCAGTGGCATCTGCGCAAGAAACACCAACCACCGCGCTGTCCCCAGGGGAACAGTCGCACCATAAACACACCTCTGCTTTCACTTGTGCTTGAGCAAAGAAATTTGGAAACACTGTTTCTCCCCACCTCAAAAACTAAACAAAAGCCAAGTGTCTGTGTGAGACACCACCTGCAAGTGGATGTCGCACATATTACATCACCAGACTGAAGTCATAACAAAAATGCTCTAGAAATTCCCTAACTCTGGCTAGCTGTTATTTTTTTCCCTTGCTCACTCACTTGGAGCAAATAGTTAAAAAATAAAAAAAACCCTCAACAATCAACCAGAAAAGGAAATTCTAAGCATTCTCCACGATTCTCTGGAGTAATACTCATGTAAAAGCAGTCTGGCAAAGCCTTTGCAAGCTAAAGTGATTCGTAATTAATTGTTAATATTTCTAAGGAAAAGTTTCCATGAAATAATACACGGGAATCAAGACATTTTGAAACACAAAGCGAGATTCTTGGGACTACCTTTCGCTGACAGCAGCCACGCAAAACAACCGCCACAAAGTATAAAACCAGTTGTAGCCACCCTCCCACTTTCTCCAAAGCTCCGGATGTAAAATGCTGAAAACCAACCTGAGAGACGGAAAAAGTCAAGAGTAGGGACTCTGCACCTGGGTTTGTAAACCTAGCAGCTGACCGAAGATTTGGGGGATGTGGCAGGGGGGTCGGGGGGAGGCTCTGGCTTAGCAATAAAATTCTCGCCTACCTTTACTTTTAGCCCTAAATGCCATTTTGCAAGAATGCCTTCAAACACGGACAGCAATGCAAGTTTCTGCGAGAAACATCTTACCAAAATTACTCCGAACCCAAAACCAGCCGGCCGATCAAAGCATAAAATGGTTGGTAAAAAAGTGCCGAACCCAACCGCTGTAAAACGGCAAAACCGGACTCAAGAATAGGACTCCATTTTTACTCATGCTGAAATACAGTCGGGATTTTGCCCCCGAGCACCGAGTTAGCCGAGGCGCTGCGGGGGATGCGCTCCGGCCCCCGGCAGCGCACCCTGGGCCGCCCCCCGCCTGCCCGCAGCTACGGCTGCCGGGCTCTGCCGGGCGGGCAGCCTCCCGCTTCCAGCACCGCCGCCGCGGAGACACCCGCCCTCCGGCGGGTCAGCGGGCGGGGACGCCCCAACGAGCAGCCCCCCGCCCCGCCGCGCACTTCGAGGACATCCCGGCAGCAGCCGCAGCGCCGCAGGGCCCCGAGCGGCGCCTGCCTGTCCCGTCTCCCCCCCTCAGGCCCCGCCACAGCTTCCCCCTGCATATGCCCTCGCGTCCCCGCTCTCCTGGTACCCGGCCGCCGACTGCGCCACGGCGGGCCCCGGGAGGCCGCGGGGCCCGGGCCGCCGCTCACCGGTCTTGACGTCTCCGGGCGCCGCGCCGCCTGCGGCCGCCGGGCCGCCCGCTCCGCCGCCCGCCCCGCTGCCGCCGCCCGCCGCCGCCGCTCCAGCTCCGCCGCCAGCCGTGCCACCGCTGCCTGCTGCCGCCGCGGCTCCACCGCCCGCCGCCGCCCCGTTCTCCTGCTCGTCGCCGCTGCTGTTGGCGCGCTTGTTCTTCTTGCCCTTGCCGCCCTTCTGGTTCGGCATCGCGGGCCCGGCCGCCGCCGCGGCGACGCGGGCGGCGGCGGCTGCGGAAAGCGCCGCCGCCGCTACCTCCGGCTCATGGCGGGGCCGTCGCGGCCGCGCTGCGCTGCGCCGCGCCCGCGGTGGGCGGCAGGGCCCGGGGGGCCGGGACGGGGAGGGCGAAAGGCGTGTCCCGCTCGGCCTGCCGCCGCCGCCCCGCTTCCTCCCGGAGCAGGCGCGGGCGCTGGCGGCGGCGGGAAGCGGAGCGCGCTGGGGAGGGCTGGGGCTGAGGCTGAGCCAGGCGGGGGGAGCGGGAGGGGCTTATCGGGAGGGGGAAAGCCCCGCTCCCGCCGGCACACGGGGGGAGTCGCCGCCGGTAGCAAGGGGCGGGAGGCGCAGAGCCTCCCGGGAGGGAGCAGAGCGCTCCCCACTCTGGGAACCGGAGCTGGAACCGGGCTCTCCCCGCGGGCGGGGCGGGGCGGGGCGGGGCGGGGCGGGTGGTCGCCCCGGGAAGCGCTGCCGCGGGAGGTAGGGCGGCGGGTTTGGAGCGCGGGCGAGGGGGACCCGCGGATGCCGCGGTCTCTCTGCGCGCTTCTCGCAGGAGTCCCGGTGCCGGCCCGTGCGGTGAGGGCTGGGCTCCGGCTGGCATCCCTGGCGGTGTGGGTGTCCCAAGCGGGGAACAGTTGGGAAATGTCACCTGGCGGTGCAGGAATAAAAGAGTGGCAGGGTGTGTGCCAAAAAACACACCCTCGTGTCTCGTGTTTGGGGGCGGGTTAGGAAGCCCAAAGCCTTACAATATTGCAACCCTGAGCTGAGATTTTTCATCTCAGGTAGTTACTGGTAGGGCTAGCTCCGTGGGTGATGGGGAGCAGGGATGAACCTTTAGAATACATAGGAGTTAGATGAAAACTGTCAAACTGGGCTGAAGCAGAGCTGGAAGCCACCCTGCCTCGAGGGAGGCGTTATGGAAGGGCAGCAGCCTCGGCTTCTGCCGGAGTCCGGTTTCGGTGAGAGGCACTGTGAAACACTGGTAACGAATATTCACAGGATTCCTGCACCCGTGGAGGTGAGATGCTGTCAACCAGCTGCAGAACTGGTGGCCACATTAGTACCTACCAGTTTATCCAACTTGAGAAGAGAAAGTACAACCTGTTATAAGAACAGTGCACCAGCTCCCAGCCTGAGCAGTTACTCCAAGCTTGGCAACCTTTTCCTTGCACATAAATTAACTTTTTTTTCCTTATGACCCAGATCCTGCAGCTTAGATTTCCATGATTCCCTTACAGAAGAAGTACACAGGCATGCAAGAATGCGCCTTCACAGAGCAGTTATGGTTAGTGGTCTGTGACTGATCCAGGCTGCAAGGATAAGTAACTTGCATGATTTAGGCTTTAGAGGTAAAGTCAAAGTGGATAGGTCAAAACCTGTAGTAAGTGAGGTCTGATGGGAAGGTGCCACATTTTGTGAGTTACAATTTATCTGCAGTGACTGGCCTGCAGATACTGATTTCCTGGAATAGTTCCCAGATTTCTTTGTATTGGAAGCTGAGTGTACATCCTGGATCATCTTGTACCCGTAGCCAGGGCCTTGGTTTTCCAAGAAAATTATCCACTGTATTTTCAAATGCTCTTGAAGCAGCTGTCACAAGTTTTGAGTCACATGGCCTAATTTCTTTGCCTGCAGGCATCAACGTTTTAGAAAGATTTTAAGGCATTTTCTTGAGTTGGTGGAAACCCTCTGAAATGATGCGGTTTTCAGTATCTTGCATTCCTGTAGCTGAATGTCCTGCCTACCTTACTTCACAGCTTTGAATCCTGGTCCCAGCCATCTCACAACCCACCAGCTGCAGAAGTTCAGTTTATTTTGGCAAGAGGAAATCTCACCCCTGGTTCTTAAGGTTTACAAGTGTATCCCTTCCACTACCACAGTTGCAAGCTCATAAACTGCTGCCTGCAGTAACAGGGGTTCAGACCTTCAAGAAATTCTTTTCAGGTCTTCATGTGCCTGTAAAACAGTGAAAACCCCATGGGTGTGCAAGAGGGGCCTGATTCTCATGTCCAGAGCATTGGACTAAGTGGCTCAGTTTGAGACAAGGAAGCAACTCCTTACTGTGAATTGGAGCAGCTGGACGAGTAACTGCTTAAATGCTGTGGATGGGTACAAATGTGTAACATCTCAAGCATCAGTTTTGCAAAATTTAAGCTTCCTGGTTTGCAAGGTGAAATCTTGGTGATGTCCAATCAGCCTTTACGCATTGCAAGGGTTGTGCCATATGTAGGTGGGACTTTCTCAGGGTGAAATCATAGAAGTACATGCAGAGATCAAGTGATTCATGACACTTTTGGTAGTCATGGAGATCTGCTGTAATGTTGTGGGGGTGAAAAGAAGTCTTCCGCAAGTGTGGCAAGTACCTGCTGGCTCACACAGAGGAGCTGTCTGCCTCTCAGGCTTTTCTTGTTCAGATCTACTTAATGAGGTAGTGAAAAGCCCTCTGTGGGTACAGAGCACCATAACTAAATGCATATCCAAATGAAAGGCCTCTTGTTAACAATGCTGAGGACAGATTTGTAGCTGTGTGGCAAAACATCCTGAACCAAAGACCTGTGTCAGTTAACAAAGAACAGAAGGGTTGTGAGTATCAGCAGGATGTCCTAGGTAATCACAGCAAGGTGGAATTTCCTCTCTGAAGTGGGATGATGCCACTAAGATGTCTTGGTAAAGACAAACTGGGCATCATTAAGGGAGTGTCTGTGGTCAGCACCAGAAAACCCCTATGGCATCAGATCCCTTATGGCATCAGAAAGGGAGTAGCTTTATCTAGGCAATTGAGGGATTCCCATGGCTCTGAGCCAGTCATGAACTAGTGATGTAACCTAGGACAGTTTTTTGGCAGAGCAGCAAGTAGGAACAGGCATGCTAGGTAGGAGAAGGCTCAAGGTACATACGAGTTTTGGACAGGGAAACAGATCACCTAAGCATGATGCTACCATGTATGCTGCTTAAATTCCTTTGCCTGGTTTGGCAGGGGAGCTAGACTGCCACAGTCTCCTGGTACATGCACTTTCCTATTTAGCCTGCAGTTGTTTGCAGGGTAATGAGCAAACTGCAAAAATGCAGTTGATAAGCTGGAGGGAAGGAATGCCATCCAGAGGGACCTTGACACGCTTGTAAGATGGGCTGATGCCAACCTTATGAAGTTTAACCGTGACAAGTGCAACATCCTACACCTGGGTTGGAGCAATCCCAGGCACAGCTACAGGCTGGGCAGAGAAGAGATTCAGAGCAGCCCTGTGGAGAAGGACTTGGGGGTGTTGGTCAATGAGAAAATGAACATGCAGTGTGCACTCACAGCCCAGAAAGCCAACCGTATCCTGGGCTGCATCAAAAGGAGTGTGACCAGCAGGTCGAAGGAGGTGATCCTGCCCCTCTACTCTGCTCTCGTGACACCTCACTTGGAGTATTGTGTGCAGTTCTGGTGTCCTCAACATAAAAACATGGAACTGTTGGAACAATTCCACAGGAGGGCCATGAGAATGATCAGGACTGGAGCACCTCCCATATGAAGATAGGCTGAGAAAGTTGGGACTGTTCAGCCTGGAGAAGAGAAGGCTGCGTCGAGACCTCATAGCAGCCTTCCAGTATCTGAAGGGGACCTATAGGGATGCTGGGGAGGCACTCTTCATTAGGGACTGTAGTGGTAGGACAAGGGGTAATGGGTTAAAACTTAAACAGGGGAAGTTTAGATTGGATATAAGGAGGAAATTCTTTCCTGTTAGGGTGGTGAGGCACTGGAATGGGTTGCCCAGGGAAGCTGTGAATTCTCCATCTCTGTCAGTGTTCAAGGCCAGGTTGGACAGAGCCTTGGGTAGCATGGTTTAGTGTGAGGTGTCCCTGCCCATGGCAGGGGGGGTGAAACTAGATGATCTTAAGGTCCTTTCCAACCCTAACTATTCTATGATTCTATGAGGATCCCTTCACATGAGCGTGAGGGGTCCCCACCAGCCTCTCCACAAAGGCCTTCCCATTCCCCATCCCATGGGGCTTAGGTGGCTTTGCTTGGGTATGCAGTTCCTTACTGCACATCATCAGCCAGGACTTGCTTTGAAGATGCATTTTTCTGATGAATGCAGTTAGTCCACACCAACCAGTACTGCAGATTTTCTCTCCCCAGTCCAATCCTTTTCAGAAGCCTTGTTTCTCATAAGTCAGAAATAAGCATCTCTTTCTATATATAGTTCTCAGGGTTGTTGTGACCATTTCACTCTGAAATGAGTTATTTTAAAAGCCAGGTCAAGTAGTTACATTAGTCACACAAATTTTGAATAGCTTAACTAGATTTCTGTTCACACTTGGATTTTTTCCATTTATCATACTTTGTCAGGAGTTCCTTTATCAGAATAGGTATGATCTCCTTTAATAATTAAACAAGGAAGATGTTAGGAAAGCAAGCCACCCTTCACAGCCATGTGGAATTTCCTCATTTATTTGTGTTTTTTAATATTTTATTTCTTTCCCTATTCAAAGGGCTAGCCGCAGTTCCAGAAAGCTGACCTTAGCTTGCTTGATTTGCAGACATTCACAGACTGTTAAAACTCACTGAATTTTGATTTAGAACATAAAAGACACCTTGAAACTCAGTTGTAGTAGTGTGAACACCATTTATTTGTCTACTTCAGAAGAGGTGCATATAAAAAGGATCAACAGACTTTGAGAAAATGTACTGTTTTCTACAGGAAAGAAAAATTCCCATAAGCAATATATTCTGGGTTTAAAAAATGAGCTTGAAAACATTAATAATAGAAAGTGGTCTTTTTCCTCCCATTCCCTGTTATTAAAGCCCCTAGCTGAGTGCCTGGGAACATCTGCACTGCAGCTCCACTCTCCTCAGTGGCTTTGGCTGAGATTCAGAAAGTGAGAGATGAAGAGACATAGGTCCTTCAGCCTACTCTCTAAGTAGTTTTGGTCCTACAAGTCACTTACAATTTTTCCTAAGTAGTGTTATATGAATCTTCCAATTTTTAAAAACAATAAAGCCTGGGTTTCCCAAAGCATCTTTCTCTGTCCTTAATGTGGAATAATGGCATGCAGGCCGTTCTCGTCACAGCTGGTCAGTGAAGTTTGCCAGGG